ACCGAAAAAGTGGATAATTATTGTCGCTGCATGTAACATTCTACCTCTAATCATCAGAGAGTCAAATCCATGTTTTGTGGGTCCCTGTCTCCGGGAAATTGATTTACAGTAAAATGCCTCTCTGTTCCTCAGTCCACAACACAGCGTTTAACCGTTCAGATGATTTTCTTCAAAACTGATAATTCCCGATCGATCTGACCGAACTCGAGGCCCTGCTAATTTGGATGGATATTTTTATTTCTGGGGGAAGACGACATTTTCAAAACATTCTCAAAAATGGCTTCAAATATTTCATGGCAAAAGCAGCGAAGCACGCTTATAAATTAGGGCAAGTGTTATTTTTGTTTAAATCTTCGAATTTTCAAAAATCGCAAAAATTAAGTTTTTTTCGACATCTACAATTACAAAATTATTGTATTTTTTCTTAAATGATTTTTTTCTTGCAAATAAGGTCATTTATATTTTTTGCATGTGAGTAGTTTTAGCATTTTTGCGTGAAATAAAGACGGTTTTAAGGAAGTACTTTAAAAAATCTCAAAATTAGCTACACTTTTTTTCCTTTATTTTTTCTTGACTAGATCAAAGTGGCTTTACAAAAATGGCTAAAGTCCTATTATGGTTGAACACTATTTTCAAAAATAGTTTTTTTCGGTTTTTTATAATCTTGTGAGAATTTTTTTTCTTAATAAAATGTTTCCTTCCAAATCATCTTCTTCTTAGGTTTTTTTCAGCTGACAGCCGGTTACCTTTTACGTCCCGATGGGACGCATATTCGACCACACACTAGACATCGACGCACTTATATGCGGGTTCCTCTGATCCTGTGGTCAGCAGAACGTGCGGCCCTCCGCGACAACACGTACATGAGAGAAAGGGGATAATCATGCCCAAGGAGGGACTCTTAACCCTCGACCCTTCGGATCGAAGCGCACGAGCATCTTAGCCACCTCGGCCATCTAGGTTGGCTCTTCAAAATCAATTCTTTAAATACTGTAATGAAAAACTATTTGAAAATATGAGTATGAATTGCCTCTTTTAATTTACCATTACAAATAATGTGAAAAAGTTTGTGCTGTTGTAACACCACTGCTTTTTTACTTTCTCGAACTTCTTAAGACAAGAAAGTTTTGTAATGCTGCGCGAAAAACCGATTGCGGGCAAAACTGTTGATTGTTCTTGATACTGAAAAATCTAATGCGGGCAAAACTGTCTCTGTGTACGTCCGTCTGTCAACAACGCTAGCGGGTAAACAGTTCAGCCGATTTTATCCAAAATTAATATTCCCGAAACGATCTGGCTGAATTTGAAATTGCTAATTGAATTTTGTGGGATACTGTACTTGAAGCCATTGAAGCCATTGTTTTGATTAAATTTTGTTGGTAAATAGTGTGAAAATTGTGCAGGTCGCATGTTCGTTGAAAACTTTTTTTTCAAAAATTGAAAAAATTCAAACTTTGTTCGGCGTTTTCCTATAACTACAATTATGAAGATACTATTTTGTTTCTTAATGAAATGTATTTACCAAAAAAAATTTTCAAATAAGGTCACGTTGAATTTTTCGAAAATATGAGTATTTTAGGAAAAATTGTGCATTAAATATAGTCGCTCTCTGAAAATCCTGTGCTTCTTTATCCTAATTTTAGATGCTTTGAGGCAGTTGGATGCTATGTAATTACTGTGTATATTATTTCATACTTCTTCTACATTGGAGCTTTGGTATACGTTTACAAATTAATGTTTTAGAAATTATTGAAAACCTATTTGAAATAAATATGAAATAAACATTGCCAAACTCCAATCATCCTCTCACAATTCCCGCAGTTGGATGCTACGTAAGTTAGAAATTGTTTATTATTTCATATTTAATTTCATTATTATTTATTATATATTTATGTTATTTCATTTTAAATGGCGTTCTTTAATTGTTTTAAATGTGAAAACGAATAGCTGAGCGGTCATTGTTGATTTTGTTACACATTGTTGAAACGCCGCACAGATTATAAACGGCGATAATGACAACTATTTTTCATTCGCGGGAATAAAAACGAATTCTTTTGTATATTTGTAGAATATTACAGTACCATAGTGTTTAATAATTACTATTATATACTTTTCGATCTATTTGTTTGCTAACTCTATCAGTATCGTATTATTTATTAACTTTTAATTATCTTACTTTCTCACTTTTTTTTATTTTTCGAACCAAATGTTCTACGCTTCTAAATGAGTTTTACAAAAAGTAATTCGGAGGGAGGACATGGTATAACCATCGCTATATTACATAACATAGTATTACATAACCTTACTATTAAATTATTAATTTCTATAACATTACTAATGGCGAGAAAGTACTTGGTGTATTAGCACCACTAGTTTATCAAAATTAATTAAAATTTGAATTAAATTATCACGCTCGTAAGAGAGCTCATGGTGTTTATCACTCGCGACAGTCTTCGAAGTTATCGAGAATCTGCGCACAAAGCATGCTCCACCGATATGAAAGAATTCAAGAGAGGAAAAACGCAGTTCCTGAATAGCCGAGAATGAACGGTTCCGCCTATTCAGAGTAAATGGTTCCAACATGATCCTCAACAGACACCGCCTTAACATACTCCTAGATTTCACAAGTAGATAAAGAGCGCGAGCGACCTCGGAGTCCACGAAAGCAATTATGCGAGAACAATCGATAATAAACTGCATTGGTCCCGCTCTACCCAACTGCCTGTCTCTGTAATCGACGAATCCAGCCATAAACTGTCTTGGTTGTGGTCAAGCCACGTCGACCAGAATCTCTTATTTTGCCACTTGTTTTCCCAGGAGAAGACAGTGTCCATAATAAATCAATGACGACGACAGGGAATGATACGAGCGCCCGACCTCTACAGCTACGGCGTTTTAGGTGCTCGTGCACAGCTTTTGGTTGGTTGTGCCATCTGTGTGTCAGCACTTGATCTGTATTACCTGTTATTGAAAGTAGTCAATTCCCACGGCCATATAAATCTCCCATCTTATATTAAATAAGCCACTGTTAGTCTATTGCAGACTGTATGAATTCAAACGGTGACAGTTGGCATTTACATTGTAGTATGTTAATTAACAAGATGTTAATCATAGGTGTTAAGAAAACGTAAACAGAATGAGTATGCATCCATTATTTTGTATATAACATTGAGCTGGCGTTTGTAAATACGAATTTCCGCATCTGACAATATATGTTGACATTTTTTTTTCACAAGCATCCTCACTTCATCTCCAATTCAAAGCTGCCCAAGTTCTTGAAATCTCTAGAGGCGGAGCAACAACGTTAAAGCCATCTCGCATTTCCGCATCCAATACCTGTGCGTGCGTGGTTTTGAATTGCGGCATGTGATAAATGAAGGTGACTAACGTGTGATCACATTTTTTCACTACACTACCAAAAATGATAGTTTTGGTCTTTCAACATTTGGTGTTTCCACCCAGGAATGTAATCTGTGTAAGTCTGTATAGTAAAATATCTTCGTTTTCTGATTTTATAATCCTATAAATTATACAGTCATAAACGAAGAATCTAAGTTTGTCGGCAAATCATTCAAGAAGGTTTAATGACACTTCCATGTGAAATTCCTCACGCAACGCTTCCTAATGGTTTCCTTTTACGACGTAATTCGTTTACTCACACCACCATCCGTGTGTCTATTCCCGAATCTATTCATTCCTTTACAATATCGTGTAGGGCAACAAAAGCGTTTCCAAAATATTTTACAGTCGCTTCAACCTTTTCATCCTCATCAGTTTCGTCGGCTGGGTCCTACAGTTGTGAGACGAGCTTTCTTTTGAAAGAAAAACTGTTCCTGAAATGATGCCGATCCTGTTACAGCCATACAGCCTCCTATTCTTTTCTGATGTTGAAAATAGTTGTCATGCGATTGCATATAACAGATATACATAAAAGACTTTCGGTCTATAGTTAATACGTACTGTTGTATTGGCGCTTTTAAAAATAATTACAACGAGAACTTACTTCCAACCTTCTTGTAAACAAGAGTTATTGATAGATGCGTTCAATAACACAATTAGATACAGTAAAATATCTTCTCCCCCTAATTTTATGATTTTAAGGAAAATAGAATCCGAACCTCAATATAAATATATATATATATATATATATATATATATATATATATATATATATATAAAACTAACGTTGGTATGTGAATATATTGATGCATGAATAACGAACTAATGAATTAAGGTTTCCTGGCACATCAATGGGTCACTAACCCCGTTCGTGTATTGAGTACTTTTATCGCCAAAGGTGGCGGAGATTCATTCTCCGCTGGAGGGCGAGATCCAATGCCGACCTACAAGGCGACTGACGGGAGATTCCCTCCTCCAGGTACATCCCGCCAGCGGGAGCCCTGTCAGGACAAGCTTTGAGCTCTTGCCGAGAGACCGAAAGGAGCTTAGAGCTTCTCCCGGCTAGGGCGGTGCCCCGCTGCCTGCGGTGGGTCGTCGTTTTTTTTGATAAAATTTTGAAAACGTCCGGGGAGCTTCATGTCAAGCCCTTCGCGACACCGACGAGAATGCAAGTCGTGCTACTGTCTCTCCAGCGTTGCTCGATCTGAATGTGAGACATTTAAAAGTTTTGTGAGTGAGGAAGCCTCCGAAAATCACTTCAGATAATTTTTTTTTAAATATTCTGATATTGCACTTTCAGTTTCTGAGGGCATATTTTGATCGTTGTTAGTTCAAGTATTAAGTGTATTCATGAACAAGCAAATGCATAGAAACATTTTGGATGCTGTTAGAGACCAAAATATTATAACTCAGTTGTGAATGTAGATTTGGGTTCAGAAGGTATAGTTTTCAGTCCGTTAGTAATTGAAGCTGGAACATTCACACCTTTCAGTGTAGAGTAGAGATAGAGGAATTTGCCAAATTGTCTGATCGATAACTAAATAGTGACGTCTAAAAGGAAAAACGACACGAGAAACTATTGAGCAGCTTCACAATTTGAAATGTACGAAAAGTTAGAGCGCCTCTGGGAGACTATAACACTGCCATCTATGAACAGTTTTAGCTACTGTCTTCAGAAGAGGTCTACGAAGCTGCGCATTGTGATATGTACGAGTGCTGCGCGGTTGCTCTTGGAACTTTTTACTCAGAATGAAAGTAACATAGCAAAAGCACTAGGCCGTCAGATTCGGGGTTTATTGAAGATACTGACCTAAAAATAAGTACTACTTATCAAAGTACATTTAACTTTATAGCTTCCTTAACTATATTATTTTCTAACAATAAGTACGTTCGTATTTAAACTGATCCACGTAAAACAAGGTGAAATAAATCATATGAAGGAAAAGATACTTACCACTATCCTCATATAATTTATTTATTTTTATTGAATTTGTTCAAGAAACTTTCTGGGAGAAAAGATGTGATTGATGTTACACAAGTTATAAAACAAACATACAATATCTCGAGTTCTACATGTCGGTTTCGTTAGCTCAGGGCCAGAAATCAGACAACATTTTAATTTTCTTATCCTTCTGGCATTCCTTGTACAAAGAAAGATATGTCGCAACTTACAATCCTAATATTTACATTACAGATGTAGCTCTAGGTAGTCTAGATTTAGTAGTTTCATCTGAAATAGCTAGTGGTGCTAAAACATCACGTACTTTCTCGTAGTTACTGTTGGTTATTCCACAATTTCTCTTAGAATTATGTTTTGTAAAACTCATTGAAATCTCAGAACATTTGGTAGGAAAAATAAGAAGAATGCGAGAAAGTAAAATATTTAAAGTTAAAAAATGTTACGATACTGATAGCTTTGGAAAACATATAGATCGAAAAATATATAACAGTAATTATTAAACACTACGGTATTGTAATATTCTACAAATATATTTATTTTTATTTACACATATTTTTAATTCCGCAAAAGAAAAGCAGCCGTCATTATCGTGTTATCAGTGCGCTGTTACAATGGATAACAACAACCAACAATTACCGCTCATCTTTACGTTTTCACATGTAAAACAATTAAAGGACGCAATTTAAAATGAAATAACATAAATATATAGTAAATAATAATAAAATGACATGAAATAATATACAAATTCTGACTTACATAGCATCCGATTACGTAAATTGGGAGCGGGCGACTGAAGGCTAGAAATCTGTATTTCATATACATTTTGAACATTTTGTGAAGCCCTAACAATTCTGATTTTTGAGCGTTTTGGCAATGCGATCAGGGATAAGTTGTGAATGAATTCAGGGATAAGTTGCATTGAGAAAAAACTCTCTAGTCTCAATTTCGAGGCAATTAATGTAGGAAATACTCTAAAATAATTGAAGTTTTCAAGTTTGAAAATTTCCGAGTATGAAAAATAGAGCTACTTTAAATTTATGAATGCAATTTTTTTGTATTCTAACAAAATATGAAAGGAAAAAACTTGTTACCACTTTTTAGAAGGTTGGGAAAATCTCACTAGGGTCTCACGTGACATACCTCCAAATATTAAAATATCCTCATGCGTCCAGGAAATGCACAACTGTATCTTCCACCTGAATTGTTTGCAAAGTTTATGCTGAAATGCTTCTAATCTGATCGAGTTATGCTTGACACATCCATCTATCCTTTCGTCTCAATTTTTCAATTTTGGAAAACAAAACTGGATGTATCTCCTCGCTAAGCGAACCAATATTGGAGCAGCATTAATCCTGTCGTGTGAGCAAAGTTTCATCTGAAAATAACATGGTTTTACAATGGACCTTTAAACATAGATTTCAATAATTTACCTCCCTTTACCATAGTATAGGAAAGAAAAGTAAAAATCTATGTTGCCTGCTCCAAAATGTCAAGAGATCTTGAAGCTCTTGAGTTTGTTAACAAACCACAAAATCAAAATGTCAACATCGTGAATTAAAATGCATGAAGACTCCATGTCCTTGGTGTTTGTATAGAATTGATATTAAGATGGTTCATAAGTTGTACCTGTCGATAAGCGGTGATATGATCGTACTCGGAAAGTGCGTTTGAATTTCAATACAAAGAACAAATATTGTCTCGGAATGAAAGTATGGTGGTATCACTGTCATGTTATATACATTTGTTATTGCAGTATTATTTACATAGTAAGCATTACTAGCTGAACCCGTACGAACATTTCGTTTCTTTGTGCACGTAAATAATACTGCAATACCATAATTTTTAAACATAAATTTAATTCATAAATGAAAATTTAAAGTTTTAAATGAAATATGAGTATTTAGAGCAGTATTAGCTTTGACAAAGTATATAATATTTCCGTTATTTTAGCACTTTATTTTGCATTAACTTAAATGATGCGCCAACTGAGCACCATTTTGATTCTCACTATCTCGCTTTGGTGGGAAACTCAAAGAAAATTGGTCTCGTGACCTGAACCGTCAACGACGACAGTCCTCTAGAAGGCGAATATACCGTTAACAATATTTTTTACGTGCAATACGTAAAAAAACTCTTCTTGTACCCAAATGCGAATGTAGAGTGCCTTTGTCTTAAGCGCTAAGCTTGGAATAAAACGTCTAAAAATCTCTTTTTGAAGAGTAAGGGATAGAAAAACAAAACCTATATTCCTGTGGGACAACCAAATCTTGTTATAAGGCTGTGAAACGCATCAAATTCAAATTATGCACGACAGTAGTGCTGCAAGTGTTGCAGGTTATATTTGCACGTCAAATATTTTCTTTATTTCAAAATATTTGTAACACGTTTTATATACAGTGAAATCTGTCTAAGCCGAAATCGATTGGGACACAAACAAATTCTGGTTTAGGGAGGTTTCAGTTTTATGCAAGGTTGCCCATTTTATGACACTTGTTATATTCACGTTTCTGTCCTGAAAGGAATAAATTACAATATTATAATTATCAAAATGCAATACCGTATAACGGATTTATAAAAAATCACCAATAAATGAATATTAAATACTCTTCATTGATAGCTTCTGAGTTGAAATATGCACACTTTACTGGTTGTATTCAGTCAGCTTGCTGACTCAACGCACAGTCGACACAACCCAGTTTTACGACATTCTGATACCCTCCTGAAGTAATGCGTATCTGGTCGAGGGATTATGATTTTCAACGTAGGGCAGGGTGACGCGTAAATAGAAGTCATTCCCGTACATCTTACCACGCTCAGAGAATCGGGAGAAAGATTCCACTACGGATGCCTTGAGAGGCAAGCTACCCCAATGTCGAATTCTACGCTGACAGCTGAAGCCGCTCTCCTTCAACGTCCGGCTGCCACGACTAAATTGCGTATCACAGAGATCACAGAGAATTTAAAACAAGCTGGCAGATGCATCCATTTCATTTAGGACATATCGCATATCTCTGCCAATTGTATTAAATTCACAGGTATTCCGTTTCATAAATTACTTCCCCTTCCAGGACATGAAAAATCATTCTTTTTCCACATTGGGAAGATTCCGTTGTATGCTGTCAAATGTCATTTAACCTCACGACCCGGAAAAATTTCCGGCTTGTACAGGTTCCGGTTTAGACAGATTTTACTGTAAATGTTTTGCCATTCTGCTCTTCTTATCCACAACCTCACACTCCTCCATGCGCATAATATGCTTAAAAAGAAGAACAAAGTTTTCTCATAACCTCTTAGTAAATAGATAATTTATTTATTAAGGAATTTTATTTTTCAAATTTCTTTAAAACTTTCGATTTTTTATCATTTGCTGTGCAAAAAAAATTCAATTCCCGCTAACCAGGGAACGGGCTATTTCACTATAAATTTAAAATTCAAACGACCATTTCAAAAATTTCCATTACTTCCCTACTAAAACTATTTCTTTGTCGTTACAGTGGACATCCTGCATCTGATCTACGGATTCGGCATAGCCTGGTCGGCAATTGCACTACCGGTTCTCATTGACTCAGGAGGCTCAGGAAACGTCGGCGGCAACGGCACCGTCAATGGCACAGACAATGGCACCAGTGTTGATTCTGGAGACTCCAGCGATCAAAAGCTTACCATCACCCTGGAACAAGGCTCCTGGCTCGCCGCAGTACTGTATATCTCTGCTGTGCCACCGATGGTTATTTTCAGTTACATCTGCGAGAGGTGAGATATATATCTGTGATATGAACTTGTGACCAAGTAAAATTTAAAAAAAAAAGTTTTTTTACTAGTGAATGAATGTTTATCTTTTCTATAAAACTTACGTTAATTCAGAACGAAACAAGAGATAAAATATAAAAAAACATATACACAAACTAAGTGCACACAAGAATTATTGTCCAAATAATATTTCTGTTTACTTAAAAGCTCGGAGTTGTATCAGGTCGTGTATCAATGAGTGAGCAATCTGAGAGCTTAGAAATGTGTTTGAAAACTTTAATTTTTCCTTCCTTAGAGTTGACTTTTAAGTACATTTCAGTAGCAGTATGAATTCAGCGTACTTTTTGAAGAAAAACGTATAATTATTTTATCGCCATTTAAAACTTTCAGAACCGAAAGCTATAACTCAGTACGCACACGATTATAGTTCAGAAAGGTTTTTTATCCTCTTAATAGTTCCATTCACAAATCGACTCCTGACGCGGCAAAATCGGAGAACAAAAGCGAAGAACTACCTAGGAAACTGCCGGGTTTAGTCACGTACAATCTCGTTCAGTAGTGTGATTAAACAGTGTGTTTATTTTGGTAAAATGGATATCGTTAAATTTTGTACACCTAGGAGAGTTTGTTTGGGTGAAAACAGAGGTCCAAACTTTCTTCAAAACACAATATAAAGCAAAAACAAAGTGTGAGTGTAACAATGCGATGTATATTAGTTTTGCGGGAGGAGTTTGTAGTGATGTTCGACTTACAAGAAAGGAAGGGTGGATCCGGTGGCCGAGTAAGGCAGTTGTGCCGTAGCGATCTCGAACCGAAGGATCGCGGGTTCGAGTCCCGCCTCAGACATGGGCTGTGTTCGACCTTTGCACCCGCCTATCATCCTTAATCGTGTCATTCCTCACAGTTACCATAACCGTTCACAAGCAATAGTGGTCGCTAATGACCTAGTATTTGATGCGACCTTAAGTAAACAAAAAAAAAAAAGAAAAGGAGAAGATTTAAATATCTCCAAAAACAGATGAATTTGCCCTCATATCAGAGGGCAGTCACTGTAAATGTTCAAATATGTTGACTCTACGTACTCTACTGTCACTATCCATTATTCATAAATATCTTCTGGTATCTTATTTCTTAAAGGTTCGGCCGCAAAATGTGCGGATATCTCATCGGCATCCCGTACGTCCTCAGCGCCGTCCTCATGGCCTTCGCTTCGTCCTTCGCAGTCATCCAAGTCTCCAGAGCGCTGCTGGGGATCGGGTCCTCGGGCATCTTCGTCCTCGCGCCTCTGTACGTCGCGGAGACGGTCGAGGACGCGATTCGAGGACGGCTCGGAGCGTTCGTCACCCTCATGAGGAACGTCGGCATCCTCCTCACCTACCTGTTGGGCACGTTCTTGACCTACAAGCAGTTTGAGTACGTGTCGATCATCCCTCCCGTGCTGTTCGTGGTGAGTTGGTACTGGATGCCCGAGTCTCCGATGTTTCTGCTTCGGCAGAACAAGGTCGCCGAGGCGGAGAAGGCGCTGCGATGGTTGAGGGGAGGGCGCGCGGACGTGCTGGGCGAATTAGACAAGATGCAGGCGTCGCTGGCGGCGATGAAATCGGAAGGCGCTCGTTCGGCCACCCTGCGAGACCTGTTCGCGACGCGCGGCTCTCGCAAGGCGTTTTTCATCGGCCTGCTCATGAGCTGTAACCAACAGCTGTGCGGTTTCTTCGGTGTCGTCAGCTACACGTTCATGATCTTCGGGGAGGCCTCTCCGGCCCTCAAGGATTGGTCCAATGTCATCGTCGGAGCAATGTTGGTGATTGGAATTGCAGTGAGCATGATGATCTACGACAAGATCCGTCGGAAAGTTCTTCTCCTGCTCTCCAATTTTATTATGATCTCTACTTTACTCACGTTGAGCGTTTACTTCTATCTCAAACATCACGGTCACGATGTGTCGCAATTCGGTTGGTTACCGCTAACCGCAATGTCCGGCTACGTGCTCGGTTATAGTGCAGGAGTAGCAGCATTGCCCATAGTAATTTTAACGGAAATTTTCTCTCCCAAAATAAGAAACATCGCTCTTACCACTAATGGTATGTTTACGTGGTTCATCATATTTCTTGTAACTAAGACGTTTCCTATGATGACAGAAGAAATTGGATTTCACGGGGCATGCTGGTTCTATATGGCTTGGTGCTTTTTGGGAGTGTTCGTTATCATACGAATTTTACCAGAAACTAGAAATAGATCTCTGGAATCTATACTCAACGAACTAGAATATGGAAAGAAGAAGCTCAACAAAACGTCTTCTCAAAATGTTGCTGCGTTCGATGAGTTTCCGACTTTAACAAATAATGAGAAGAAAGAAAATCTTTGATGATGGACTCCTCAATAGAATTTCAATATATAGGATAAAGGAACAATTTTAATCATGACAATTTTCTTCTCAGTTACAATAATTCATTTTACCAAGACAAAATTCTGTAAGTTTTTCCTATACAGACAAATGGGAGAAAAATAATGGTTTATTTAGGCTGTATATTTTCAGAACTATCTATTCCTTCGCACCTGGAATTAAAATTTTTAACGTAAAAAACAAAAATATTAGCGAGATGAAATAACTTAAGTAATCATTATAAAAAATTAAACGGTTAATTGCTAAATGACACGAATAGTTGCTCCGACATTGACCTGCATGTACAACAAAGAACAATCGATTGCAATGCGACTCGCACTCTGAACCTAACGTACAGGACGCAAAGAACCCACAAAGAATGCGACCACGTGACCCGAAGATGACGCACCAGCCAGATACTACCTCACGCGAGGTCAACAGCTCCTCTAGGGAGCGTCCGCGACAAAAAGAGCGTTTCCTCCGAATGCGGTCATGAGCGATAGCGCTGACCCGAACTGGGCGATAGTCCGTCCGCCCGTCACGAGCTGCAGCAGGCTGACCGTCGCCCGCCCGTAGTGGTTTCGCTCGCTCGGTCGGCGCGCATCGCCCCGATAACCGCCCGGCGCGGAGCAGCACGGGCGTGCGGAAGGCACCCGCCGACCCACGCCACGTCCACCGCCGACGCCGAGACCGACGTCGCAGTAGCCATGGAGCTGGAGGAGCGGCAACCGCTGCTGACGCCCGCCCCGGGCGCCAAACGCCCGCGGGACTGCGGGGCCGGCAGGGCGCGCCAGTTCGCCGCCGCTTTTACAGGTACCGTTGTCTCGTTGTATTCCGGTTATTTACCGTAAAAAAAATTACAGTAAAAATTGGAGAAGTTGGATGCAAGTTCGTCAAACCCCAAAACAGAGTTACGAGGAAAATTAGTTCAATGTTTTCACTTGCGATTTTATTCCTTCGCCAAAAAGTAATCTGGTCTGCTGTACATTTATTTTATTTTCAATGGCAATGCATTACAGTTACTAGACTTAATGAAAGTGTATCTCCAATGTAATTATAAGTAACTCTGTCTTAAGCCGTTTTTTCGTATATTTGATTCTTTCCAAATTTTCATTTTAAGAGGTTTTTCCAGATAAAAAGTTTAAACTCATTTTATGAGGTTCATTTGTAGGTTATATTTAGCAATTAATTAAAAAATAAATATATTCAGCTTCGTGAATATTTTATGATAATAAATTGTATTCGATTAAAAACGAGTTTTTAGGATAGGTTTTTTCCCCATCATTCATTTAGTCCACAGCAATAATAATCAATACAATACAAGCAACGAAAAATCATATTTAAAAATGTTGAGTTAAGGAACGGTGATTTAATATGAAGGAGTGATTTGCTGAATATTATCACCACTATGAATAGGCGCGGAATCAATTCGTGCTAGATGTTACAAGCAGTTCACTGGCTTCTGCGTACCCTCTTGTTCTCTATATCCAAGAAACATTTCTTTGAACTTTTAGTAAGTTATTCATAAACATGGAAGATCAGAAGCCAAAAGACGTAAAAACGGTTTAACCCCCCGATCTGCCTTTTTTTTCTATCCACCACACAATTATATCTGAAGTATGGTGGAGATGTGTAATCTACGTACATAATCTTGAGCTCCAGAATCTCTACCCCACCATTTTTTACATCGTTGAATTAAGAATAACGGGACACACAAACCATAGCATAATTTGAGAACTAAAAACGTTCGTTCTACAAAACTAGAAACATTTTCATCTGCAAACTTATTTGCGTCTGGATCTATACGCCTGCACGGTATATATATATATATATATATATATATATATATATATATATATATATATATAACAACGGGACCTCGTCATTTTCACCAAAAGAGTCGGTTAGATCCTTGCCCGCACCGGTAGTATTGCCCGATTTAAATGTAGTGTCTAGTGACATCTGGACGAGGTTATTCAACCGGGGGCTTCGTAATGACATATTTTAAGTATGGAAGTTCCCGATTTGATAACCGCATCACAGATGATCTGTCACAAGTCACTACATTTAAGAAAAACGATAAGCTGTCTCCCCTTCTACACGTCTCTTTGATTACAATGGATTGAGACAGCTTTACAACCGTCGCGGCACAGAGTCGTCTCAAATATACCTTGTCTGTATACGGATCGCTTTATATAAAGAATAAACAGTACAGTGGTTTTCAAAGATGTTTTAACTGTAAGAATAATGTTATGTTATTCTCAAATACACTCAAATAAGTCTTATCCCCCCATGCCATCAGTTACCATTATGCAATTTTTGTCTTCACTCCTGTTGCTCCTTACCCCATTGCTCTAATTGTGGCAAATTGCTATATTATACACTTCATCATTGAATAACACGTGACGGAAATGAATAGCTCCCTGTTTGCAAAAATGACTGACAGATTTAATGAGGTTAATTTGCAGAAGTCGTTTCTTGGGACTCGATTTTGTAAGAATAGATCCTAGATTCCGGAAATACACACTTCAGGGGTTCAACTTGTCTGCTTCTCCATGAATACAAATGTGTTTATTAAAAATAAATTAAGATTTTTTATATTATCCTGTTCAGAACACGGAACGCGTTTTTTAAACAATCAAACAAGTATTCAAATTTTCGAAATATATTACATGATCTTATTTCAAAATTTATCTTTAAGGAACTTATTTCTTTAAGAGAAAAAAATCTCTACCTTTAATATTTTAGTTGTTGGAAAACTCAGAAAATATTTTGAACTTTTGCAATTTTCGAAAAATAGGATTTTCAACAAACATGAGACAAATTCAAAAATATTTTGAATTTTGTTCAATTTTCGAAAAATAAAAGAGTTTTCAATCAGCATGATAGTTACACCATTCTCTAAAATGTTTTTCATACTATCCAAAAGCAACATTTTATCAAAATCATGTTTCTTTGTGAAGTACCTCCAGGTTTCAAATTCAAGGTACCACGAGATTAGCCACATCCATCAGGGAATATCGATTTTAGAAAAAAATCGGCTGAACGGTTTAGACGCTAGCTTTGCTCACAGACGGAACTACGTTTTGCTGCCTCGACTTATCGGTATCAAGGACCCACTAAAAATGGATTCTGGCTACAACACGTTTTAGAGGATTTTTTTTTTATTTAGAAACTGGAGGTATCCACTTTTTCGTTACCAGAGACCTGTAATAGGAGTTTTTCTGTCAAAAATTCGCCATTTTTTCGCGCAGCATTACACAACTTCCTCTCTACACTGCAGGGAGAAAGTAAAAAGAACATGAATGAACATACGAAAGTGTGTTTAACTATGCTGTATCTAAATGTATGTCAATTACGAAATGTTCGAGTATGTTTTACTGTGTATAACTATAACATAAATACCCTTTGGTGCCATACTTGCTAATCTAAAATTACTAATTCTACGAACGTTGATATATTCTGGACACGAACTAATTCACTTGATTGTTTGTGCACAATCTGACGTAGATTTCTTACGGAGGTCGTAGGCGGGAGTAAAATAGTGAAGTGGACTGTTGAGCAGTATAGCGGCTGACTATTGCATGAACTATTTTAAACTTACAAGCTAACAGAATTCTTAACATTAAATAAAAACATTTCAACACCCTGTACCTTGAATTGAATATATAATCTTTTCATAAGACATTTCGAAGTTTACAGCCCTCTTCAACATTAATATTTGAAGATTCTAAGAATTAGAAACGATGTTTATAAATTACTAAGACATTTATCAATTTGAATCATTGCAAAAAAACTTCTGAAATGCATTGATTGCGGAATGATTGCAAATGATCGTTGTAATTCTATATATGTTTATTTTACACTTCTGAAAGTCATTCTAGTAATCAAGGGTTACCATCACGTTATTTAATGGGATAAGATAATTATGTAAGCTTCTCTTGCCCATGTATTCCTTATTGTTGCAAGTTAGTTTGTACGACTGATAGAGATGATTCTAGTATTAAAAGCAATGGTATATAATTAATCACATCATTCACTAATATTATTTCCCACTGGTTGCTTACGATATGTAAAAAAGAGTCAGTTCATTCTAAGAAAATACATACATATAATACATACTCAAAATACAATAACTACGTATTTTGAGCTCTGGTTTTACTTTGTATAGAATCCAATGTGCAAAGTCCAAGTTACTACAAAGTAAATTTGTTACGCTGCAATGCGCGAAAATATTGATCAATATTTCGAAGTTGACGCATTGATTTAGTAAAATCTTTTCAGCTTATTTCATTTGAAGATTATTATTTATTGACAATTAAATTCGTTTTTACACATTGTTACAGTATATTACCTTATTACAATATGTACAACTTCTTACATACAACTTAATTTGCATTTCATTCTTTCTCCCGAACCAGATAAACCGTCCCCAAAAAATGCAAATCAATAATTTCGTTTTAAATATTACGTGATACATTATTACAATATTCAGTGTTTCTTTTAATTAAAAAGGAGGGAATGTGAATTAGTCAAAATTATATTTGGAGGCAAGTTATCAGTTCAAAATCACACGTCGATGTAACTAATAATTTGCAAAACAATTCAAAATTGCTTCTCTGTGTCAATTAACTTTTTCGTGACATGCTCCTACGAGTATATCATTCACGTGAGCAAAAATAACTGTATGCGTTCTGTGACACAGAGACACGATAAAGCTGATTGTCGTAACCTGATTTGAAAGTATAATGAAGAGAGAACAAGTGCATGGCAAGTGTGGGGCGTAGACTTCCTTCAGTTACCCATATTTAAAGAGGAAACATATCGTTAGTTCTTTAAACAGTAGTTACTAAAAGTTCTTGTAGATAATGATATATGTACACTATAGTCACTGACTAGCTCGTATCATTGTGTTGTCTTCGGTTATTACATATAGTTTTCAAACACTAAGGCATACAGGTACAGCAATATGACAATATCGATATTTTCTTATTTTGTGATACACAGTAAATGTCTTTGTAACTTATCAAAGCAAAGGTGATCTTGATGCATACTAATGCGGAAATTTAGTTTAAGTTCGCATGTCCTTACAGGTGAAGTCCGCATAAGTCATGCTGTTTCACCGAGAACTAGGCTGAGTGTATTAATATACAAGTAATACGGTAAACTCACTGATGAATCTCGAAATTTCAGAGAACGCACATTTGCTGCTAAGTTAGTTGTTCATAGAGTTAATGTGATCATTTGTATAGATGGTTTGGAAAATCCAATATTTACATAAACACGTATTTTATCAATAGAGTATCGTGTCCCTGACCAAATGACATCTTTTAATTTATGAAACAGATTACATTGTTATTTATGTTTACTTATAGATTATCCCGGACTGTAAATTTGTTTTACACTCATACGTAACAGAGACGGCACCCGTTCAAAATCTCAGCAAATAACAATAATCTGAACACTGAAAGAAAAAATATCGGCTAAGGTGCCTCAGGGCATCAATATAATTGATGTCACTGCAGTGCCTCTGATCGAGACGTCCTAGGGTTCGAATTTCGGAATTGACAGGATTTTCGCCACAAGCTCCATACCTAATTCGAATTCATCCGCTGCCTAGAGGAGAATTCTAGCGGCCGGATTTTCGTTGTTAAATCAGGCAAACGCCAGAGTAGTACACTAACAAACGGGCCATGAACCGCGCACAATCTTTCCTTCCACTAGCTTGTTCTCTCCCAACCCCTTACTTACACCCACTGATCCTTACGTGCACTTCATTAACACACATGTGGAGAGACCGGTCGGGAGCTTAG